AAATAGGACATATATATATATATATATATATATATATATATTTCTATTTTATCTATTATTCATTTTGATTTAATTTATGTGTAACTAAATTTATTTAATTTATGTATTACATAAATATAATAGTGATGGAATAAATTTAATTTATGCATTTGATTTTATGGATTAATAGTGGTTCATTTATTATTTTATTTCTTTAAAATTTATTGGATTACAATTAGAAAATGAGGAGGGTTACACGTGTAATTTTTACGAAGTATTACACCGCTTAATAATCTTATATTAAATGTGAATTTTGTAAATCCAATCGTTAGATACATTTCAAAATATACTAAAATATGAACACTTTGATTATCTTCAAGTTCTTGTTCAACTTTAAAAATTTGATATACATATATAGAGTGATATAAACTTTCAATCTAACGGTTGAATTTACAAAATTCACATTTAATATATTGTTATTGAGCGGTGTAATACTTAATAAAAGTTATACCGGTGTAATTATATTCCCCTCTTAGAAAATTATTAGATTGAAATTTTCAAAAATTGTTTTTATTTAAAAGATGTCTTTTGAATTTTAAAAAATTATATAAAAATATTATTGTTTGAGATTGTTGTTCTACGGTACATAGAATGTGTCTGTATTTGTGTTAAAATCCTTCTGATCATCTTAATTAAAAAGAAAATTCTAATCATACGTTAAACTCAAAGTAACAATTACTTACTTACTATTTTTATGCATTGGAAAGAGATTTTTCGATTTCATTTGCTTCAATACATACGATTTTCAAACTGAGACATAGGCTAGTTATCCAATATAAGCATACACTTTTATATAAAAATAAATAAATAAAAAAATAAATAATTTATTAATAGACTCATAATAAATTAAAAGTATAATAGGACTAGATCTTGTGTTGGAAATGCTCTTGTAAGATATGTAACAATGGGAGTGAGAAAACCTCCCACTCTAGCTCATACATAAAATAAAAGATGAATAGTAAAACTCATAGGCAATTCAAAAATACCAAGAAATCTTATCACATGAAATTAACTATATAAATTATAATTAACATCAATAGGAGGATTGAAGATGTTGAGTATGTGGAGTCTGGAGGGTTTATTGGGCTTAACCCATTTGCTTTCTTTCTTTTTTATAAATACTCATGTAATTATAAACTTAATTATGAACAGAAAATACCATCTAGTGCAGTCGTTGACATAAGTTATTCTGACCGAAGCACATAAATCTCAGTGTCTTGTTAATTTACTTTCTCTCTTGCAATTGTGTGTGTGAGTGCGTTTAGGATCCCCAACAACTGGTATCAAGAGCCTAGGGTTTCATGAGAGTGGGAGCAATGGAAGAAGACAGGAAAATGAAGATTGACAAGTTCGATGAGAGTGATTTCAGATTTTGAAAGATGTAGATTGAAGATTATTTGTATTAGAAGAAGCTGTACCAGCCTCTGTATGAGAATAAACCATAAACGATGTCTCAGAAAGATTTGAATTTGCTAGATCGACAGGTTCTGGGGGTCGTCAGATTAACGTTGGCGAAGAATGTCGCCTACAACATTGTCAATGAGAAGATGACATATGGTCTGATAAAGGCATTATCAAACATGTACGAGAAGCCATCAGCATCAAACAAGGTATTTATAACACCCCAGTTTTTATTTCATATTTTATTTTATTTTAATTGAGGGTATTTTGGTAATTTCATAAAAGTATAGGGGTGATTTAGTAGTTTGGAATGGGCTGTTCCGGAATTGGAACGGACCGTTCCAAACTACCAAATTGTATGTGAGTTAATAGCCCAGAACGGGTCGTTCTCAAGTTGAAACTGGCCGTTCCGGACTATTAAAAACTGCTTTAAACTCTAAGTGGGAACGGGCTTGGAACGGGTTATGGCAGCTGTGAGTAATAAAAGCACACCAGAACGGGCCGTTCTGGTTTGAGAACGGGCCGTTCTAGGTGTTATCTTTGCCCATGATTTTAGGGTCCAGAACGGGCCGTTCCGAATTTGGAACGGGCCGTTCCGGCAAAGCCTGAGGCCTATAAATTGAGCTCTCTGCCACTCTCAAAAAGCAAACCTCTCATTTTTTGATTTCTTTTCTTCTGCTCTCTCTTCTTTTTCTCTCCACTTTCTGCTTTAGACCGAGGGGAACCCAGCGAGGGAGACCAACCAGATCTTGTGTAGGTTCAGCTTCTACATATCCAGGTATCGGGGAAAAGGAGATTATTTGTATGTAGAGTTACATGGGGGAATTGGGCAGAGGAAGAGTCTCTTAAGATTATGAGTAATTTTATAATTATTTCTGTTTGGAGAATTATTGATCTTATGTGATTCTGAATGTATTTAGGACTATGAATATATGATTTATTTGTAAAAATGATGCTCTATGAGAGAGAACGAAATTATAGAAAAGTGCCTGTAAGTTAGATTTTGGAAAAATTGGATTATTTCTGTATGAGGAATTAATGATACCATTAGATTCTGTATGTATTGAGGATTAGAAATATATATTTAATTTGTAAGAATGATGATCTAGGAGAGAGAACGAAATTGTAGAAAAGTGCTTGTGAGTTAGGTTTTGGAAAAATTGGGGGTTTTATTGTTTGGGTTAAGATTATATTAAATTGCTAATTCCATTGAGTATTATATTAATTTATGAATGTTATTGTTATATTACTTGATAACAATTGATGATTTAGATGTGAATTGCTTGATGTGTATGAAACCCATTATTTTGGACTTATTTGATATGTGTATGGTATTGAGCTATGAGATGAGATGTTGTATGGATGTGATTATGATTGTGGTTCCTCACATCAATGACCAAGGATGGCACGACCCCTAGGTAAGTGATGCTACAGGGAGGGCGTGACTGTGACATGGTGTGGGATGAGTAAGACAGTTAACACGTATCACTTATGTCAAATATGGCAGCTCTGACATAGGGTTAATTGTAATAGATTGTGTGGATTGTGATGTGATTGTGGTTCCTCACATCAATGACCAGGGATGGCACGACCCCTGGGTAAGTGATGCTGCAGGGAGGG